AGTGTAATGATGCATCACTTCACAGGAGAGGAGCACAGAACTGTTCCTCCGTGTTGTTTAGACTGATACAGTAAATTACTCAATGCTGCCACCCTGTGACCAAAACCAGCAAAGCGAGTGGGGATGTATCATTCCTGTCTTTACTGGGTCCTTAAAAAAGAAAAACAATGTGAACATTTTAAACAAATTTATCAAATCTGTGAGAGTATTGACTTTAACAAAAGGCAGCTTCTAGAGTGTGTGCTGACTCTATGAGGCTTTACTGGAAGAATAAGGTTAAAGTTTTATCTTTGTAGTGTTTTATTTATAATGGCAATGGAGACAATTATGATGGTGATGATGACGATAATAATGATTTAATCATTATTGTTATTAGTCAGGGTTTAGAGAGTAATTTTAAATACTTACACTCATCACCATGAGAAGTTAAAGGTAAATCCAATAAATGATCTGAATTAGGAGCTAAATTTGACCTTTTGGGTGAAATTGTTATCTGACTGTATTTACCTTTTTCTGGTGGAGCTGGTTATTATAGAGCCGAGTGGTCCTTTTTACATTGAAATTTTTTTTATTTGTCAGACAAACATTAACTGGGTTTGTATTAAACTGTAAATATATGACAATACTGTACAGTCCCTATCAGACACTATAATTGAGAATTTATATTTTTTAATCCTAACACTGGAATTCAGCAGTGGACTTTGTTGTTGTAATGCCTCAAACTAGACAAAAGGGTGCAGTAACAGACTATCTAACTCCAGCCAATGATTCGTGGTCATGTTTCTTTTAGAGAAAATATTCAATGATAAATCAACAGACGTTTTAAATGAAACTATAAAAATAATAATCAACCAAAGTTACATCGATGCTTATTGTAACCAGAGGGCAAAAAGAGATGCAGAGGCAGATTGTTCAGTTTTACTAAGTGGATTCTATCAGCCAGGTACCAATGTATTAAGAATAATTGACTGGTTTTAAGCGGAGCATGTACCTGATATACATTTCTAAACTATTGCTGTATAAAACACATTCACTAGAAAATAATGTTCAAATGAGTCACACTGGCAAGAATAAAAATGTTGCAAAGGAAAAAAACAAAAAATCAGTGTGTTTCTCCTTCTGTAGACATTTAGGAAAGTCCTGCTTCAGTGTGAGCAGTCTTCAGGGTATTTTGGTATTTCTAAACCTGTCTAAGCTTACAGTGCCTGATGAATTAAAATTACTGGGACTGCTCCAGTTACTAGAGCTTGAGCAGGTAGGTAATGAAAAGGCTGTGATGGTCCAAAAATCCAAGTGTGCCCAGTTTAAGTTATTGGTTTTGTAACTTATACCCTCAGATTGTTACCTGAAGTGTTTGAAAAAAGGACACAAAGGGCTCTATTTTTGTGCCCGTCGGCGGCGCAGCGGAGGGTGGCACACCCCATGCAGTGGTATTTTCATCTGGTGGAGCCCAGTGCACAGGCAGTTTGGTATTTTCGTAGACTAAGGTGCACCGAGGTCCGACAAGCTCGGGCTGGTGGCGCGGCAGGGGGAGGTGTCAACAGAATCAGCTGCCGCAGTGACATTTTCCTGCTCACTGCCGGCGTGAAAAGTGCGCTGAAAGGTCGCTGATTCAAACCTGGTCAGCTTTCAGCGCAGGCAGAGCGCAGCTGGTCTAGTGGTATTTTGGTAGACCGGTGGTGTATCGGCATACGCCACTGATGCCTCAACCGCAAGTTTCCACAGAGTCAGGCACATTTCAGTGTGATAAAAGATCAACAACAGCCAATATTCTGAGTCAGCACATACATTTAGATCTCTAGATATATATTCTGATCTATATCTGATCTGATGAGCACGTTTGGCATGCATTTAGACACTCAACCTGACCAATTTAACACAGCTGAAACCGCATTAAATTAAATTAAATATCTAGTAAATCGACACACATGATGTAGTTAAGATATTTGATTTGGCTCCCCCCTATTTCTTTCCTCCTCTTCCTCTTATTTCTCACGCAGCTTGATCTGGACATGTCCCCGTGTCCTCTCCCTGTCCTGTTTTGTTTTAGTAATCAGATGAGTTATTAACTTTAAGCCTACATACAAATATTATAATATTCGGTTGCGTGAGCCAAATTTATTTTATATGCCAACATCAAAGAAAGAAACAGCCAGGCCACGGAGCACGATGCGTCATTTACGCACAGATAGTTCCAATTTTAATGCCGTTATTGGAATTTATGTTGTGATCTGTGCGCACAACCCACCTTTGTCATGTGAGGTTAAATATATGTAACTTTATGTGAGTGTCTTTATTTGTGGAAAAGGATGTTTGTCTCTCTGTGCTTATTTGAGAGAGTGTGGAGGACGCCCTCTGCAGCGCTTACAGCAACACTTGTTGAGAAGCTGCCTTCTGTTGCCATCGTGTGGCATTGTTGTCTTCAGCCATCTCTTGATCTCTTTGACTACTTCACAAAAATTGTAATATGCCTCACCAGTGGCGGATTTAAAGATGAGAAAAAGGAGCTGACGTTATTGGCCAAAACAGGTCTTGGCTGTGTTAAATCCACTCCAAACCTTATCTCCATCCTCTCTACGACTTTCGCCATAGAGAGAAAAGAAGTTGGGGAGTGGGGATACTTACGCCAGGCTGCGCCACTCACCAAAATACCAAAGTTTGCTTGGGCACACCTTATCGGCGTAGCAGACCTGACATACGCCGCGCCTGTGCCAAGTCGCTGGCGAGGCATGAAAATAGAGCCCAAAGTCTGTAATCAAAGGTAAAAAGGTTTTTTTTTTTTGTTTGTTTGTTTGTTTTTTTTACGGTGGGCACAGTTAATCATGAATCACTTGAAAAGAAGTGAATCCATTAGTTTTGTTTTAATCCAACAATCCAAATCCAAATCCAAATCCAACAGTCGGCTGCCTCTTGCAAATGAGATGCAAACGTCTCCATGATCCAAGATTTAATCCAAAGCACATTATATGGATAAAAGGTCAACAGATCATACTCTCTTTGAACCTTCAAAGGTTGTAATATCTTCCTCTAGTAGTCTGTGATCTGTCAGACTATGTTAGGGCAAAGTTTAGATCCTTTTCCTTTCTGTTGTGAACTTACTGACCATAGGCAAAGCCAGTATATTTTCATTGTTGCACCAAGACCTGAAGACCACATTTAGCAGCAGTTTAAGGTTTTTCAAATGAACCTGCACATCAGAAATTTGATTGACGTCAAATAAAAAATGAATGAATAATGGATTAAGTGACCTGTGCCCAGCTCTTTTTTTTTTAACCAAAAACTTTTATTACATTATTTCCTTTGAAATATCCACTCACAAAACAGTAGTTGATGGTTCACCTCGATTGAGTGCTTGTGGACTGAGACAAGGACAAGATTTAGTTAAATATCCTGATCCAGCCTTATCTAAAGTTTGACTTTACTGTCAGGATGCTGGCCAGACTAGAACACATTGAGGTGATTTCAGTCAAACTGATGCAATAAAGTGATCTTTTTAAAGATTGTGTAAATGTACTGATTGTATTGCAGCACTCTGCCTGTTTTTGTCGATGTTTGGAGGAGGACTCTCTGACCCTCTGTTCTTCTCACACTCAGAGAAAAGCAGCTTTAACTCAACATTTTGATTGTGATTGTGTTTTCCACCTGTATTTCTTCTCAGTGCCTCTGTCAGACTGTCCTCTGGATACATAACTATTAGGCCTGTGACCTCGGCCGCAGAAACATGAGATACCCCTACCAGAGTTAGAACCAAGCACAACATAGTTTTTCCTCATCTTTAAGGCCCCCCATACATGAAATGGATTCTTGTAAAAAAATATTTTATGCAAAAGTGGTAAAATTAATCTATATTGTTATACACCCACAGACAAAAAATAAAGTCTGTTTGTCTGGTGATTGAAGCATTTACACCCATGTAGATTCACTATAGAAGCACCAGGTCTATAAATTGGCATAATGGAAGCCAGGATATCCCTTCACATTCTAGAAAAAACAGAATGTAAATATCTGAATACAAATAGGAGATATAGTCATTTTAACACATACCTACAATAGGCGAGAATGTAAATCTATGTAGAGTATTCTCTTTACTTTTCAGTGACTCTGTAATGGAAAGCCATAACAACACATATGATGGCTTGTTTGAAAACTGCTAAATCCAGCAATATCAAGTGTGTATTGGTAGCTTGTATACTCATGGAGTTATCTCACAAAAGGTACAAGGTGTCCCAAAAAAAAAAAAAATGCAAGAGACGGAGACAAGGAAACATATTTTTAATTAACAAACTGTTTTATTCAAATTAAATGTTCCTATGTCGTAACCTCACTAAAGGTAATGTTGTGAGTGGTACAGTGTGTGTGTGTGTGTGTGTGTGTGTGTGTGTGTGTGTGTGTGTGTGTGTGTTTGTGTTTGTCTTTACTACATTGTTGGTACTGAGATGTGGTGGCCCAATCACAGTGTGGGGACTGAAAATACAGTGGGGACCCAAATCCTGGACCCCACAAAAAGTAATCTATTATTCAGTGATAAAATGGTTAAAATAATGCCCTGTCAAATTTTCAGGGGTCACCCCAGAATACACATTTACCAACATTTGTGTGCTAAAGTGTGCATGTGGGAGGTAACTCAGTACTGACCCCTAGTGGTGAAAAGTGATACTGCAGCCATACACACTTGTACACATACTTGATTGAAATATGCTATGCAACAGCCCTCTGAGATTAAGCTAGCTTCTTTAACTTAAGATAACTATTGATTCATATATATATATATATATATATATATATATATATATATATATATATATATATATATCTGTATATATAAAATATATAATGAATTTTGATTAATTCAATTAAGATATTATTTTTTAAAAAAAATTTTGGGACAAGGTAGAGCCATATTCATCTGTTGCTTGTGACTAACAGATTTACGACAAAAAAGTCAGCAACATAATGATAAAAACAGAAAAAATGCTTTTAGACTTTGCTTATTTATTTATTTATTTTTTAATTTGCCAAGGTAACCTTTTTGAATCAAGGGTAAACTGATCTGATTTAGCGTCAAAAGTTAGTTGTCCAGGTTTGAAGCATCATGGTTATATATAGCTTGTGAATGTGAACCTTTAGATTATAGAAATGCTCTAAGGGATTTCCCAAAACATTAGTCCCTGGCACCCAATATTAAGTGATTTGTGAGCACAAGCCTTCTTGTGGCTACTGCTTTTCTGAAGTCATCCACCAGAATATGGTGAATATGGTAAAAAAAACACTTTGGAGCATTTAAAAGAAGAGGCTAGAACAATAAAGTCAATCACATCAGAAGACAACCATATGTAAAATATTCTGCATTAGTTTTAATTATGAATTAATTTTGATTTTTTTATATTGACCAGTTATTTGAAATGTAAAGTTAAACCACAATTTTTCATGATGCTATTTTTTGATCAGACAAAATTGAACTGCAAATGTATGACAAATTTAATAAAGATTTTATATTACATCGCCTAAACTTAAAGTCTGGTTTTAGATTTAAACAGTAAATGTTGTTTAGCCTCTGGCTCACCTATTGGTGTCATGAGTTCGGCAGCTGCCACTTTCTCTAGGGGGTTAGCCATATATTCAGATTGAAAAAGGTGAGACAAACCCATATCTGAGATGGACATTTACACATATGAAGAGATTTGGTTGGTCTGGTAAACTGATGTTTATGCTCTCGCACATCATGAGTTAAAAACTTACAGCTCTTTGACTCTTAGAAACATATGCTCAAGAACATGATTTTGTACTGAGAATGACTTTTACAAATGTAATTTATGGCATTACAATAGACTAATACTGAATCAATAATATTGGTCCATTGTAAATAAATACCTGATTTTCTTTATATTCATCAGATATTTGTAATGCAAAACAATCTGTAAAACAGTTAGCAGTGTACATAGCCAAATAGCTGACTTGTCAGCTAATGTTAGCTGCTACAGAAGGTAGCAGGAACAAAAGGCTGCTGCTTCTGGCTATCCTCTCCACTCCTCAGTACACAACAGTTGTGTTTTTGCTGTTGGGTAAACAATCTGTAAAACAGTTAGCAGTGTACATAGCCAGGTAGCTGACTTGTCAGCTAATGTTAGCTGCTACAGAAGGTAGCAGAAACAACAGGCTGCTGCTCCTGGCTATCCTTTCCTCTCCTCAAGTTCATCCCTGTCTCAGCTCTTTCAGCCTCTCTCTCACCTGCATTATCCCCTAATAATGCTGTCATATCATCCAGAATTGCGTACTAAAGCATCTTGAACAGTTCATTACCCAAAGTCCTCAATAAACCCTGGTATATCCAGAACTCTGCTGCTCACCTTCTCACACACTCTTACTTATGTTAGCAAATCTCCCTGTTACTCCAGAACCTCCACTAGTCTCCAATCCAAAGACTTTCTCACTGTACAGTCCCTCTCTTCACTCACAAAGTTCTCCATGATCAGGACCCTATCTTACTGATAAGGTCCTAATCCTATCTTACTGACCTGCTCAACTCTCACACTCCTTTCTGACCTGTCTGCAGGACCAGTGGTGAAAGAGCCTCAACCTCCAACAGAAAACTGATCTGCCAAAATCCAATTCTCCTCTAAAACACATCTCTGGAATCACTGATGATGCCATTTTATCCAAGCTTTGTTTTTTTTTTCTTCTTTTATAACATGAGTTTTTGTGACACGTATCTTTCGGTATTTTTTTTTAAGTAACACAAGTAAAATGTACTGCAATAATAATAATAATAAAATGATAATAGAAGCAGTAGTGGTAACAGTAGAAGAATTGCGATTCTTGCAGTCAGAATATTATTATTATTATTACGGTGATTATTGTTGTTTGAGATAGTACAGGCAGGCTGGGCAAGACAAAGTGATTAATTGTCAGAAACATGATATCATCCTTTTAAATAAATAAGTTCCTATTTACTGAAATTGAAACTAATAAACACACACTTCTACTATAACAAAAGAAGCGGGCTGCCTTAATAACAAATGTCTGGCGGGCGGACACACAAATTCTGTGATTAAAGCAGCACCACCCGCACAGGACGTGCTGACTATACAGAGTAAGCGCTCCTCAGCTGATGGTACGGAGATGATTGAGAAAGACTTGACTGCAGGAGAGACTTCAGCTGCAGCAGGAGAGGATTTAACTGAAAGGTAAGTGGGATTCTGATAAAATAATTAGGTAAGTGATAACTTTATTGTCAAAAAGTTACCCGTTGTTTTTACACATGGCATTATGTGGCATGCACACAGAAAGCTGGCTGCTAGAAAAGTTTGTTAGGCAGAACTAGCGGTCTCACGGTCGCATTGTGTTCTCTTTGTAACTTTTTGTCAAAGTTTTTGACTATGAAATACACCGAAAATGTGACTTGATTTTGTTTAATCTTTGTCTGAATCTTATTCTTTTACAACACGGTCATATTTGGGGAAATGTGCGTTATGTTGGGTGGGGGTGGGGGGCCGAAGAGTGAGAGCAAAGCCGCCATCTTAGGCACCGTGCGCTTTTAATTGAAGTAAATGACAGACCGTTCACAGTGAAGCAGCAGGAGCAAGTTCATCATTTTGTGTCAGACAACATGGTCACTACTCACTGGTTAGTCAAATGGTTGTAAAGTTTACAATGAATGTAATTTTAGAAACATTATTGAGTAGTTATATGACACTGCAGACATGAACTGGGCCTGGCATGTTTGTCCATAGAGATAAAAAAAATCAAAACTTGAAACCATAAATTTTCCTTTATAGGATGTATATCCTGAGAAGCAGGAAAGTCCAAAAACAGGATGACTGGCCTAGGAGGAAAAAGGTTTTTCTAAGTCTTTGTTACTGACAAAAATGAAGTACATTTTCAGAGCTTACTCAAGTTGATCTGATGTAATGGGCTCCAGTTAGGTTGTGATTTTAGCAATCTAACAAACACACTTGTCATTCATCCTAATCTTAGAACGGCAGACAGTCAGCTGTGGCTGAAACATCTGAGGCTGATACTTGCGTGGAACTCATACCAGAAACGAGCGCACGCAAGGTCCGTAACGCTGAAAAAAATCTGTATGTATCAATGTGTGCGGGCGCCGAAATCCATGTGTGTTTCCTTGATAAATCCCAGTCAGCGTGGAATTGAGCGCAGATGTCAGAGTGACTGGGCCCGTCCCCGTTACACCCTCCTATAAATATGCAGATTTATTTAAATAGGGTCTCCCTGTCCTCGCACGCAGACAAAATGACAAGAAAAACTAAATTTACGGCGTGCGAGGTGGAGGTTCTGGTGGCAGAGGTGGAGGAGCGACAGCGTGTTTTGCTTGACAGCCTGTCCAGTGGCGTCAGTGCAAAACAAAAACGCTTGGAGTGGGAGAAATTTTGCGAGAGGGTGAATGCGGTGGGTTCCGAGACACGCACCCCCGCAGAGATTAAAAAAAAGTGGTCGGACCTCAAGGTGGAGGTCAAGCGGCGTACAGCTGCCCTCCGGAGGAGTACCGGCCAGACAGGTGGGGGTCCGGGGGAGGAGACCCTCACACCGTTTGAGCAGCGGGTGGTGGCGATTATTATTATAGGGTAAGTGGCGTGTCACACAAATGTCCACATGCTTTGTCATCCCACTGAGCAAAAGACGTATATTAGACGTCTAGTCTAAGTTTATACTTCATTTCAACGTCGGGATTCAGTCTATTTTTAGACGTGATTTATACTTCGCCCTTAACTTCATTTTTCGATAACTTTTTATGCAATAAACAACTGTAATGTGCATAACTGACCTCGAAATACTGGATTACATTACCTATGATACCGTGGAGAGAGATGTAAACGCAACAGATACACAGAAGCAGGAATTGAAATGAAGAAATATTTTTATTGTGTCACAGAAATTAATGTGTCGGCCGTGTCGCCGGCTTGCGGAACCCTGGCCCACGGCAGCCCGTCCGCCGGCTCGGAGTCGTCGGCCAGGACCAGCGGCATTAGGGCCACCCCGGCCCCCGGCCCCAGCACCAGCAACAGCATCAGCACCAGCGCGCCGACAAGCGGTGGAGCGTCCACCAGCCGCGGCGCTTCCGCTGGACCAACCGGACGCAGTGGAAGGGTCCTCGCGGAGGGGGTCCTGCAATCGCAGGAAGAAATCATCAGGGGGATCGCGGGGATCAACGAGCGGCTGGACCGGCTCGTAAATTTCCTCGAGCGTCTGGTGGAGAAAATAAATTAATTTGGCTCATTGAACTGTGTATTCACTTCTTACCCATTCACACTGTGGCGATGAGATTCTCCCGCGCGAGGACGGCGGCCCGGCAGGGATCAGCTCGCATCCCTCCGTCTGCTGCTGGTTCGTCATGTGGGGCGACGTGCTGCTCGGCCACGGGGATGTGGTGCACGCTTGTCACATAGTGAGTCACCAAACACCGCCACACAGCGTCGCCAAAGTGCGAATCACAGTCAACGCAAGTATCAGCTCAACGCCGATTTCTACACCACCTCCTGACTTTGCGTTGATTAGCGCTGGAACCGACGCTCGTTTCGCGATGATAAATCTGGACGTGTGCGCCGATTTTGGCGTACGCAAGGTTTTCTTGCGCCGCAAGCGTTGATACATGAGGCCCCAGGACCGCAAAGGAGTCTCGTGAGGGATCTACACTCACAGAGATAGAGGTATTTATTCTAGCGGACCATCCTGTCTGGTCTTAAAGTGTTGAAGCTGCAGTTGTAAAAACTCAGCTGATTGGTCAGGTCCTTTAAATGTATCTGACTTTTTTTTATGATGGTCAGTTCAGCTGTGTGTCTGCTTTCAGGCTCCCTCGGGTTGATTTTGAGTTGTGGGGTCCAGTCAGGTTGTCATTTAAGATGTTTAACAAACACACTTGTCAGGTTTACAGTGTTTGTGGGGTCCACGTAAAGTCAGATACAATGTTGACATTAATGAGAGATTAAATATCATATGAAAAAAATACATCATTTGCGGTTTATGTCTTCCTCACTGTGTAATGATCTAAGACCCTACCAGTCACTCCAGCTGTTTGACTGGGAGACTTGAGTCTCTGCCAGTATTTCCTGTTACCTATTCTTGTTTATCAAAATTGCAAATGTTTGAGTGATTGAATCTTTTTTTCTAATTCGATTGTCATTGTGGTATTTATTGAATATTTTTGTTTGTTTGTTTCCCCCTATCAGCCACAGATCTAACTGACATAGAACTGCAATAGATCTACTCATATTGACTAACAAGACCCAGAAACAAGTTATAATTGTGATAAGTCTTTCATTTTAATAATTTGCTCTCACTTACCAGGATAATTAACTAGAATAACTCAAATGAACCTTTTATCAGTTTATCAAGACAAATGATTAGTGGTCACGTGTAATATTCAGTAGTACATTTACATAAGATGTTGTAGATAGTTGTACTTTGGGTAAAACTTTCTCTCTGTTGTGACCATAAATTTAATCTAACTTTTCCTCACAAATGCATACATTTCAGTAAAAAGGGCTACCATCTGGTTGATCTTAATTAGCTTTGAGTATAGGCCTTTTTTTCTTACCTTGATGAGATGCTTCAGTATTTCATTTTGTCTTTATTTTCTCTAGGACTCAGCTGCAGCTTGTCCTGAAAAAAATATGGGCCGAATCTTCCTCTAGTAAACTACACAGATTCTAATGAACCCCAGAGTCCATCCTCAAATCCTGAATCTAAACGTTGTCTCTCAGAGCAGGACCATATTTCTGTCCCCAGGCTCAGGAAGACCAAAAGTATACTGGTAAACAACACACACACACACACACACACACACACACACACACACAGTGCAGTGAATGTAATAAAAGTCAATTGCAGACATTTCATTGGTCTTGTGCCTACTGTCTATCATATTTTTATTGTTTTCTTTAGATGAAAAACCAGATTCACTTTGATTCAGAAGAGCTTTTTGACACCACTTCAACTGACAGTGAAGAGGAATACATTCCTAAGACAAGTGAGGACTTTGATGATTCCGGCAGAAGTGAAGTCCTGGAAGTTGTGGACCCTCTCCTCAAGATAAAAGATGTCATCACAGATTTTTCTCCCTTAACCCAAAGATCTGAAGCCTCTTCACAGCAGGTTGTTACAAGAGGGCGTTCACCTGTTAGGAGAAGTAGCTCTGGTCTGATGCGTAAAAGGCAATGCTACAGAAGTGTGGTTCATCATTCAACACTAGCCAGCCATGCTGACTCATCTAACCAGAGTTTTGTAGCAGACACTGATGCCCTCTCCCAAAACTCAGAGGTGAATTTAGACCAGGACCAGGACGAATGTCTTCCTGACAGTTCCTCTTCCATTCTTACAAATGATAATGATTCTGGTGGTCCACTTTCCATACCCGCTGTCTGCAAAAAAGAGAATGGGTCAAGACTTTATAACAAGAAGCAGTACTGTTTGTACTGCAAATTGGGTGTTGTAAAAATTGCAAGACATTTAGAGCGAGCACATATAGATGAGTCAGAGGTTGCACAGGCTTTTGCCTTCAAAATAGGCTCCAAAGAAAGACAAATGCATCTGGAACTTTTGAGAAACGGGCAACTTTTCACACAACGTTGAAGTACTACACTCTGGGGTCAGTAACCTTGTTCCCCGCAAGCAGCCGAGGCAGGATTCCAGTGCACAGGATTTCCTACACTGTGCATATTGTCAAGGCTTTTTTGCCAGAAAGCTCCTTTGGCGGCACATGCAAATTTGCAAGCTTAGGCCTTCTGTACCACACAAACCAGGTTTAACCCGTGTCCAGGCCCTTTGTGCATTTACCACACCTCCTCCACCTGGCGTCAAACAGGACTGGAAACTCTTAAACAACATGGTCCAAGATGAGGTTTTTTCAGCAGTTAAATCTGATGCCTGTATTCTGGAGTACGGAGACCATCTGTACAACAGACTGGGATATGATCCTGGAAAACATGAATATATCCAGCAGAAGTTAAGAGAGCTTGGAAGACTTCTGCTGTGCTCCAGGAAAAAACACTTCCATGAAGACCATTCGAGACCACATCAGACCATCCAACTTCATGCAAGTTATTCACGCTGTAAAAGAGGTGGCAGGTTTTGATAGTGCAACCAACACTTACAAGTCTGGCCCTCAAAATTGGACATAGCCTGACAAAGGTATCAATGCTTGATGAAAGTCGTGCAAATGTACAAAACAATTACAGTGCTGCCAAAGATGCACGTACATTTCGCAGAGTGTACGAAACTCGCTGGAATGAAATGGTTTCGGCTGCATCACTGAGGACACTGCAGGAAGCCAGGTGGAACACCCCTCTGCTGCTTCCTTTCACAAAGGATGTCCAAACTCTCCACTCCTATTTGGATGAGAAACAGCAACATTACAGCTCAAAACTATCCACTGAGACATCCTCGCAAACATGATGACAGCTGACCAAGGTCACGTTGACTCAAGTCATCCTTTTAAATCGTCGAAGAGCTGGGGAGGTGTCAAAAATGCCCATGACAGCATATTTGTCTAACAGTACAGCAGATCCTCAAGATGATGTGATTGATGCCCTGTCACCTGTTGAGAAGAAACTCTGCCAACAGATCGAGATCAGGGGAAAAAGAGGAAGAAAGGTTCCCATTCTTCTGACCCCGGCAATGCAGCATGCATTGGATTGGATTTACAGCATGCAGCAAACGGCAGGAATGTGGGGTTCCTAAAGAGAACAGGTACCTTTTTGCTAGACCATCTGCCTTTACATGCCTCCGTGGTTCTGACTGCCTTCAACATTTTGCAATGATCTGTGGTGCAAAAAGTCCCGAAAGTCTCGCCTCCACAAAGCTTCACAAACAAACAGGAACTCTTTCACAAGTTCTCAACCTCAGCAACACAGAGTTGGACCAGTTGGCTGATTTTCTCGGTCATGACATATGTGTACATAGGCAGTTCTATAGGCTTCCTGAAGGCACCCTCCAGCTTGCTAAAATAAGCAAAGTTCTAATGGCTCTGGAGAAAGGACACCTGGAATTCAAGGGAAAGACCTTGGATGACATCAACATTGACCCGGAGGGTACTGTTTGTCTATCTCTCTTGTCTCCTTTTGAAGGAAATGCACTTTTTGTAATTATGTTTTCTGGGCATGTCAAAAACAAATGATCTTGAATAACACTCATTCTCCCTCACCCCCATACAGAGAATGTGCACCCTGACAGCGATCCTGACGAGGCATGCGAGTCGGGCTCTGAAGGTTGGTATTTACATGCAATTTTATATGTGACCACATATAAAATTGTAGACGTCCACATATTTGTAGACATCCATGTGCAATATCAGTTTACAGAATCCATTTGGAGCCTGCTTTTGCTTGTCAACAACTGGTCATAAAATGTTTTTGTTAACTTTAAAGCTCATCGGTCTTCATGTCCATTTGCAACATCGGAGAGGTGATCATGTAATGTCTGTAACGGCTTCATTTTAATCCCTGCACCAAGTTTAGTTTGAGCTTTCAGATTGCTGTTATAAGCACTTGCATGTCAAGCACAAGCATGGTGTAAGAGGTGTTGGGGGGGCAATAGGGTAGGTGGGTTTACCTCTTTTAGGTTAGGATATAACCAGGGTGGTGTATCCACAGAGATCATAATCACAAGATGCCACACGACCCCAGGATGCTCCAAGACCACCGCCATCTTGGAGCAGTACTTGTTAATGGTTTTCAGTCAATTGTAGTTTTTGAGGCCTGTGATTCACCTTACAACAGCATTTGTTCACATTCAACAAAAAGGGAACAAGTTAGGTTATGTGATTTACTTAATTGCAATATCACCTCAAAATGTGCTTAATGGCACAGAAAAACAATAGTAAGTATTTATCAACTCCATCAACTGTATTTATGTCACAGGCTTGAAACTACAACACTACTCTACAGCACTATTTAGCTGTGTCAAAGAGCTAGTTAAGAGTTATTGAGTTAATATTTTTTTCAGTTTATGTGAATTGAAATAGTTTATGAGCTAATTTCAGGTAAGACTTACAGAGAGTAATTTTGCACATGTATTTTACATGTATTTAGATTTATAGTTTTACCCTTCTTATCAGCATGGAGGATCAATACTGCAGTCAGTCAGCAGAGATCTTGAAACGTTTGTGAGTTGGGGAGAGCACTGTTATGCTACAGTCTGTAGTCGTTAGACTTCCAATATGTTTGTGGGGTTTGTTAACCTGTGCCTCATAGTGAAGAGCTTCAAATTATGACCAACATGTATAAAGTCAACCTTTATGCTAACATTTTAAAGTTAATGGATGAAAGTAATTATAACTCAGTTTTACACTTGACTTCATAACATCAAGTGACAAGAAGTGCCTTACTTCCTGTGAATTCAGTTTAGAGGTACTTCAAAAGAAAAGCATTTGCTGTTAACCAGATAATCCCAAATCTTTCAATTTAGCAGGTAAATTGACAAATACCCCCCTAAATAATGTAAATAATGTATTTTAATATGTCATTAGGAACTTTCTAAACTAAATTTGATTAAAAAAATATTCAAGGAAACAATTTTCATCATCCTGTATACTAATTTTTAATGTATGAACATATATACTTTTCCTTTTAAACATGAGAAACTTGATCAACTTCTGGAGATTCTTGGTTACAAATATTAAATCAAAAAACTTAAACATAAAGGGGTTGAATGGCTGGTGTCACGTGTGCTTCACAATCAGTTAGAGCATGACCACAGTCACAATATCCAACTGATTTTTCACCTATTGCACAAAGGAGCTAGTGAGCTGTGGTGGATAAAGTCTATATTCTTCTGCTCTGTTGTAGGGAGTAAGTTAACATCTAGTCAGAGGGAAGAGGATGCACCATCTGATGTGAACCATGATGATGCATCACCACAGCAGAGCACCACCGCACCTCAAAACACCAAACAACCAAGATCACCAAAAACGGAGAGAGGCAAGTTCTCTGAGACCGGTCTGAAATCAGATTAGTTTATGGTGTGGTTGTAAGTGTGTTTCCTTGGCATGTGCTGAAATGTGGATTGCAGACACACATTTGTGATTAAGATTTTTTTGGGGGGAGGGGGAAGTTTCTGATTTCTCATTCACCTATGTTACTTAAATTGCTTCTAAATCACTCCATGGTTAAAAAGCAGAATTGATTATGTTTTTGTTTATTTACAGCTTGGTAGCCTGTTAAAAAGAGGCCTTGGGAAAGAGGAGATCCTGGCCGTTGAGAAACACATGATGTCTTTCATCACCACATGCCGTGTTACAGGGAAACGCGACTGCGATAAGTGCATTGAACAAGAGAAAGAAGCGCTCAAAAACAGGAATTGGTTGGCTATTAAATTCTACATCAAAAACCGAATCACAGCTCTGAAGAGGAAAGTTTAGAGGGATCTGGTGTTGTCTGTTGACAGCTGTAGGAGGGTTGCATGTCCCCTCGTTCGGTTAATGTGGTGCAATACTTTAATCTGTTTGTTACACAGAGTTCACGGCTTGAATTAGGTTACAATGTTTAGTGCTAGTTCTGATAGGTCTGCTTATCACCTCTTTTACCTTCTCCTTCTATATGTTGTCTTGTCTCCCAGCCTTCTCATCTGGTCATCTCCTGTCACCTTCTAATGTGTATGTTTGCTTCTTTCCTTTTTCATTCAGTCTGGTTTCTTTAAAGGCATTCCTCCTCCAGCGTTTCTCTCTTTTCATTGGGTCCCTTTTCCCCTGTTATCTGGCACTTTATGACCTTATCATTCTTGTTGGATGTTGTCTGTAATTTTTACAACTCAATTTTCTGTCCATTTTATTCTTATCTTTAAAAAAATGAAGCATCAAGGTAATGCATGTTTTCTGGTTTATACCATTAACTCGTTAGTGTTTCCTTAGTGGTTGTATCATATCCATCATTTCTGAATTCAGAGATCTACCTCCTTATTTTAATTTATATTTGGATGCTTAAAGCCGCGTTCAGACCAAACGCGACCTGACGCGACTTGGCGACGGCTCCCAATGCAAAGTCTATGGCCAGCCGCGACCTGACGCGACTTGGCGACCGCCGGCTTCCTGCGACGCGACCATGCGCGACCGGGCGACCAGGTCGCGCATGGTCGCGCATGGTCGCGTCGCCGAGGTCGCGTCGCCGAGGTCGCAGGACGCCAAGTCGCGTCGCTCCCAAAGTTCAAATATTTGAACTTTGGGAGCGACTAGCCGCGACTCCGTGCCGCGACAGCCAATCAGGGCTCTGCTGACGTCAACAAACCGGCGAAGCAAGGAGGAGGAGGGGAAAATCAAAAATCAAACAATGGAGGAACAGCTAATTACGGCGGTAAGCTTTCACCCGGTCCTGTACGACGTGGGGTGCGGACTGTACCGGGACCGCACCTCCAAGGACGAGGCATGGGTGAAGGTGGCCCATGATGTCGGGCTTTCTGGTAAGTTTGTTTGTGTATTTATTTCAGTGAGCGGACAGTTTTATGAAAACATAGCTAACTGCCCCTGTATGCTAGGCTACATGTTTCAACGTATGTGTGTGTGTCTTTGCAGTGGATGTGTGCCGCAAGCGGTGGAAGGGGCTGCGGGACGTTTATTTGAGGGAGAAAAGGAGGGAGAAAGAAGGCGGGAGAAGCGGGTCGGCGGCCTCCCAGCAGAGGAAGTGGCGTTTCACTGCGGTGATGTCCTTCCTCGACCCCTTTATTGCCCCGAGGGACACATGTAGCAACATGTCTCGGGAGGTCGAGGAAGACTTCACCGCAGAAAATGCTGCTTCTTCTGCTGGGATGCCTGAAGACCTGGAGGAAGCAGGCCCCTCAGGAGTGGAGTTTGACGGTTGGTTGATGAGTGAAAAACATAGCAAATAAATTTGAGTCCCTTCATGGTTTAAACACACCATTGTAGTCTAATTTAAGATGGACAGATCAAGTCATGCACATGTAATGTGTGAACATTTTTTATTTGAATAACAATGTTGCCTGATTGCAGAGTTTTGATTTCAGACATTTTTGTCACAACTTTAATTAAAGATAAGCCTGCTCCCTCTCCTGCTTCAGCTCCATCTCCTGCTTCAGCTCCCTCTCCTGCCCCGTCAATTTCTCCTGCTCCCTCAACTGCGGCAGGTGATGCCTCGGGCTCCACTGCAGCCAGGCCAAGAGGTATAGAAATTAAATATTAACCATATATTCAATGAAATTGCTCAAGGTCACATAGAAATTATAAAACAAATAGTAACCGATTAGTTTTTTTTTATGACAGGGAGGAAGAGGAGGACGCCTCCCTCCTCACGACTGGAGGAGATTGAGGAGCTCCTCTGTCAGGCCCTGAGGAGGCAGCAGACTCCCCCTCCACCACCACCACCACCACCACCCACACCTCGCTATACCGAGGAGGAGCATTTCCTCCTAGGCCTGGCTCCTTCCCTCGCGAGGCTGTCACCCCAGGCTAAGGATCAAGTGAAATTCCAAATTTATAAATTAATTTTTGAAGCTCAGGATTTGACACTGAATTTGGAACCAGTGGAACCTTAGCTGGGGTGACAGCCTCGGGGGGGAACGAGCCAGGCCCCTCTGTTTCAGCCATGCCCCCCCCCATCCAACTTGTAAATTTGTGTATATAGTTGAAATTTTTTATTGTATTTTATTTTTATATCTGCTGTTGCAGCCGTTAAAAAATTTGTTTTATTTGTTGTTATAAAAAGTATTATTATTGTTACATTATTATTGTTATATTTGTTGTTATAAATATTATTATAAAGTTTTCTCAACTTTGCCTTGTTTCCTTCTTTAACATGCAGTCATGAAGTAAAATAACTAGGTTGCAGTGCTTCGATGTATAAACTTTACTTAACCCTTGTGCACCCCTTAAAATGTAATGACACCGTTACTGTTGTCTGGGCTAACAAATTAATAATAATACTGATCTTGTTGAATGATATGGACTTATTGGGTCTGAAATAAAGTTAGTAAATAGATAGTTAGATAGATAGTAATTTCAGCATGTAGGTAATTTGTTTGAAATATTACCATCTTGATCATGTCATGTTGACAATAGTTTGTTGACACAAAAATAATGGCAATTGCATATCACTTTCACCTACACAGGACACTCGTTAGCTTTCAATTAGTACTTAGTTTTTTCACTTTACATTAATTTCCATATTGTATAAGGGACTGGAAAAAAAATTGAGCCCCTGCCCCTGTATAATCATGTGCATGTCCCTGTACTGGCTCCAAGGTTAATCTTCACTGCTCATGTTGTCCTCAGAAGCACTCACCTCACTCCCCTCAGGTGACTGTACATGCAGCAACTGCCTGCTTCAGGTTTAGATGGCGCTTCATGGTTGTGTTTTGGAGAAATGACCAGCCAAGTTGTGTTAAAAATTTAAATTTTTCTAGGGCAAAAGGAAGCCTCCGCATTCCTATCGGATATGTAAATAGCATGTTTTTGCAGGTGCATAAAAAGGGTCTGTGTGTGTGTGTGTATCTTGCAGTACTCTGAGCAGAATGAGAGGCAGGACACAGACACAGTTATGGAGACATTCTTGTACATATATGTAGGATATTTGCTCAACAGTTGTTTGTGGTGGCTCTGAAAAGAACCGTTGTGGGGGTGCAGTGCACTAGATGGAATCCTGCCATGAGACCGCTCCTTCAGCTGAGAAGTGCTCGGTGAAGGACTGCCTGACTGCGATGGCCTCCCGGGACGGGTTGTTTGAAGCGACACGTCCCAGCCCTGCCTGAGGCTCCTCACCACCTGTGATGGCACCCAACCCCATGGCAGCTTCAGGCTGAGACCTTCGCAGGAAGTTATGAAGGACACAGGTGGCCTTCACACACTTCTCTGCAACATCTGGAGAAACCTCAAGGGCACGTCGGTACATCCTCCACTGAGTGGAAAGAATGCCGAAGGCATCTTCAACCACCAGCCGCGCCCTGGACAGCCGGTAGTTGAAAATGCGCTTCTCTCTGGGGAGGATGCGCCCTGGATACGGCCTCATGAGGTTTCTCCGGAGCGGGAAGGCCTCATCTGCAACAAACACATGAGGTTGGGGTCCCCTGTGTTCAGCTTCAGGCAGTGACCGATCCGGAGGCAGCTGGAGGGAGCCAGAACGTAGGGCCTGACCAAACGCAGAGTTGGCCAGAATCCCCCCGTCACTGGTCCTCCCGAAGCCTCCGACATCGATCACTCGGAAGCAATAATTGGCATCTACAACTGCCAAGAGAACAATAGAAAATGTTCCCTTGTAGTTATAGAACTGTGATCCTGAATTGGCAGGAGCCTTCAGAACCACGTGCTTCCCATCCACTGCACCACAACACAAGGGGAAGTTCCACCGCTCCTCAAAACCCTGTGCTATGGATCTCCACTCATCACAGGTGGGCACAGCCATGAAGTCCTCCACCAAGCACTCCCAGATGCAGGACACGGTGTCTGCCACGATGCCCGACACGGTGGAAACTCCAACCCGGAAGCTGTATGCGATGGTCCTGAAGGAGTCTCCAGTAGCCAGGAACCTAAAGCACATAAAAATTAATTTCATTACAAATTTTATTTAAAATATGAGGCCATATGAAATAGAAACGTAACCGAAGATTTGAGTGTCCATAAATCCTCTTTGACACAAACATTTATGCTAGCACCCAGTGTATCTGGTCATTTTAAAGTAATTGATTTCCAGGTAATTTTTTTACAGTATGTATTGAATGTGTTAAGGGTTCATTTTTTTCAGTGTAACTTCTTACTTTACTGAGTGGATCAAATAAAGGACACAGACCAATCCTGTTTACTTCTTCAGCAGCACCTTATCAGTCTGATCAGATAGGATTATTTTCACAGGAGTTATATTATCTGTCTTTAGTAAATTGATCAGATTCACAGAATTTCTAAATCACATTAGTGTGTGCAAGAGAAGTTTTATTTTGACTAGATATTAAAGGACAGAGGCAAAGAGCAGCTCACAGGAGGAACTCAGTGTACAGAAAGCTGATAAACGTTGCAGTTTTGCCTTATTTGCCCAGTGTATCTGCTCATTTTAAATTAATTATACTTGTTTATACTCACCGCAGACAGATAGACAGGCGCTCCGAAGCTGGAATGGAGCGCCTGTAGTTGGTGTCCTGGCGGGAGATGCTGCTTCCCACCCGGGCGAGGAGGTCCTCAAACTGCGCCGTCGACAAACGGAAATACCGCTGGAAACGGCCATCGTCGAGGCGGAGCTCCTGGAGCAAACGGTGATATTCACCCAGCTCCGTCCTCCTCCGGATCGTTTCATGCACCCATACACGCCGGCGGCGTCTATGTCGGACATGAAGGTATGCGGCAGCACAGGTCACGATGTCGTCCATCTTCAACACTGGTCGCACTGAAAACTGAGCTACTGACGTTAACGTGATGACGTCATCGGCGACCAGCCGCGACCTGCGACCTCCGCGACTGCAGCTTTGGACCCGGTGTTGACACACCAGGGCACCACGCGACGCGACCTGACCGACCAACGCGACGCGACGCGACCTGGTCGCGTTTGGTCTGAACGCGGCTTAAGAGTTACTGTAGGTTGGGCTACAAAAATTAGAGTTCAGACAAGAGAAAGGGCAGAACTTTCTGGCTGAAGAAAACATCAAATGGTGCACTTCTAAGAAAGACACATCCTGTGAACATTGAAAGTATATCGGGTCAGGTTTGAGAGTAGATCTAGAGACTGATGCACTTATAATACCTTGAATATAAGCTGGTGATACTGATAAGAAATGTACCTGTCGAAACCTTAGCATGGATAAAATTTTAAAGAAAACTTAGCCACAGTCCTGCAGAGACTCGAGGTGGTGGTGCCTGGATACGAACGGGAACGGAGTAGAGATGTAATGATTATTGGTATTACGTTTGACCTCGGTCTTCACAGTGCTCACAGGTTTTGTGTAAATTAATGGCATTATTGTGATGGATAATCAGGATATATGATAACAGCATAGTCTCGCCATGCAGGCACAGCTAGTATGTATTTTGTAACATAGGAATCTCAAACAAAAGGACAGGGGAAGGATAAGAAATTGACAGTATGGGCATACATGGGTTGCACAAGACTGCTGAGGGACAGCTGTCTGCAGACACTTTTCCTGTCTGCATAGCATGCAGGAAAAGGACTTGGCTGTTGCTGGTGTAATGCCGAGAAGTGTCTGCTACCTGGGATTGGCATGCAGCGCGCTAGAGCACGCACAACAAATGCAGAAGTGAACTACAGATCATTAATAATTATTATTAAAATTAGTGATTTCTACGGCAAATTGCGGCTTGGAAGTACAACTATATATTTACATGGCAAATGCGGAAGTAACCTATGGATAATTAATTATAGAGACTTCCATGGCAAAAAAATGTTTAGACCCATTTACTGTTAATAAACAAAGTAGGCTGCGCGCGCAGCTTTGCAACGGAAACATGGCAGCCAGTGGAGGAGTATATACAGTATACAGTCTATGAGGAGTGTCGAACTCCTTATCTTTCAAAGATCACTGCCACTGGTTAGCCGTCGCTGCGGGCTCTCGGCCTGGTGATCACCGCCGCTGGGTGGCCGCAACTTGTTAGCCGCCACTTGAAAGCTGCCACTGCAGGCTCGGGGCTGGTGATCGGGGCCGGTGATCGCCGCCGCAACAATTACAAATTACAAATCGGGACATCAGGTTATCAACCACAACACTTCACAGTCACGTTCAGACACTATATTCATACAGGCCCAACATCAACCACTTAGAACCCCCCATGCACATAGCTAATACAGGCATAGGCTATGTATGAACCAGAGGTGGGGGAAAGTCCTCATGTTCAAGTCCGAGTCTCAAGTCTTTCCTCAAGTCCGAGGCAAGTCCAAGTCCTTTGCTCTGAAGTCTCAAGTCAAGTCCAAGTCAACACAGACAAGTCTCAAGTCAAGTCCAAGTCCTTACCGTTTCTTTCACGTCAAAAACAAGTCATATCAAAGCCATAAACCATTTGTTATATGTAAAGATTTACAAAAATCATGAGCATTTTTCATTATTTGCATTTATTATTAAACAAGGGTTCTTGTTTGTGTTAAGTTACATAGTGCAGCTTTAACTAAACTATTTTACATGTCATACAAAAAATAATCAGATAAACTTCAATAATTGGAAACTTAGACAATGTGCACAAAAAAAGGAAGACTCAAATACAATTAAAACATTAAACTGATACTCTAATTCACTGTTCCAAAACAAAACAAAAGAGAGACACAAGGCAACATGTGGAAACAGGAGGGCAATACTAGCGAGCGATTTATGTTCAGTCCTCTCGGTGTTGTTGTTATGAGGGAGGCTAGAGTTTGAGACAGTGTTGCCAAGTTTCGTAAGAGAGAAATAAGGAAACAGACCTCCAGAAACAAGCCAAAAACAAGCGAATTTTTTTTGTGGGAAATAAGCAGACTTGGCAACACAACACAGTGTTACCAACAGTTGTAATTCCTGACTATTAGTTGATGCGACACTTTTTAAACAATTTGGGCTTGCTGTAAGGTAATAAGTGACTTGAAAAGACTTGAGTTGACTTTTCATTTCACTGGGCTCCAGTCAAGTCAAGTCAAGTCTCAAGTCTTTAGCAATCAAGTCCCAAGCAAGTCCAAGTCATTTCTTGATTCATCAAGCAAGTCAAAAACGGGACTCAAGTCCAAGTCGAGTCTCAAGTCGAGTCGTCAAGCCCCCACCTCTGGTAAGAACAAAAAAAGAGGATTAATTGTCAATTATTTTTCAATCTGTATATCTGCATGCTTGTTTGTATGTGTGTGTATTGTATAGCTTAAGAATGCATTAGGAATTTGTTTTCTGTTTACAGTGTGTAGAGTCCAAAGATAAATAGGATGTCACATGCATAATTTAGCAGAGCTGTATTTGAACTTCCGAAGAAGTACATCCCCAGTGTGTCTCTATTAAACAGCCACGGGGTGCACATCTCGGCATGGGCAGCCCTTCATATGCTTCACTGGGGAAACCTGATGGTCAAATGAGGTCGTAGACATTTTAATTGAGTTGTTATGAGCATTAACATGAATTTCATACATGTTGCAGTGTTGACAATTTTAAAACAGCTCTGGCGAATTCTGCATGTCCCTCATATGCTTCAGTAAAGTTGCAAACCCATATTGTTACATCCCTAGAACCAGGGCGACCTGCCATCGATATCCCTTTCGATGTGTTAGAGTCATATGTTGCAGGGGATGACACTGACTGATATTTCCAATCTGCTTTGTATGAGCCACCAAACCATTCAATGGAGGATGGCAATAAATGGATTAAGGTAAATTCTTTATTACTTTATTTGCCTAACGTGAGAGAGGGTATTCTGTCCCTGCCTGGTACACGTACCATCTACGTACCACTGACAGATAGCTAACAGACAGGATTCAGAGAAAGTCCAACACAGTTTCTCTTCTTTCCATTCTTTATGTAAAACTGCAACAAAACACCAGTTAACAGAGCTTTAGTTACAAACATATACAGCATGAATGAATTTACATTGGTTTGTTTACATGTCTTAACAGAAAGCTACATTTAGCTTGGCTTAATCTTTTTACTCTACCATTTTTAATCTTAGCAAACTTAGCAAATGAAATAGCCACAAATCAGTCCATCTTTAACTTAAACATATGAATTTCAAATTATATCTATGCACTTTTCCACAAAAACACAGAAAAATGAATGAACTTACAAGCAATGCGTCTCCAAGGCACAAACGAGGAAAGAAATAGAAGAGGAGATTGCAAGCTGACTGCATGGAGAGAAACTGAGCTTCCAGCTTCACTTTTCCTGGCTGATTTGAGTCGTGATCTCAACTGACCACTCAGAGAACGCCAACAGTCGATGCTGTGTAACACCATAACCTGCCACAAGGTGGAGCAAAAAAAGGTAAATATGAGGACACAATGTGTCATGACCATAGACTGTATATACTATGGACAACTTGGATTTGAAGCCAAAAAGCTGTCGATATTTCCGGGACTTTTCTTCATTTCCTGAAACTAGCGCTGCGCAGAAGTGATGCACGCATTCGGCCGCGCAGTCGCCGAGAGTCACTGTGATGTGACTAATATTATGTAGCCCGGGATGTTTTATTTTGTTATTCATATGGGTAAGGCTAGTGATGTTATTAGAATACTCTAGTTAGTATTTTGTCCTTCGTCATTGTGGTCCTCAAAAAGGACAATGACAAAATCACAGCTAAAAACTCTCAAGAATGACGTGTGTAAAACTTTATACCAATTGATGATGATAATTCAGTTGTTACCTCCGCCAAGGAGGTTATGTTTTCGGTAGCGTTAGTTTGTTGGTTTGTTTGTGAACAACTTTACGGAGAAAGTTAGACGAATTGACCTGAAATTTTCACCAGAGGTGTGTCTCAGCCCCAGGACAATCCCATTACATTTTGGTGGTGATCCGGACCGCCTTCTGGATCCTGGAATTTTTTCAAGGATTCTTTATCATTGTGAGATAGGGCAAATTTTGGAATTTTTGCATTTAACTCTATAAAAATGGCCAGAGTCTTTAGTAAAGAATTACACAAAAGGCTCTCAATGAGTTTTATGAGGTGTCAAAGGTTGATCCTGATCTATGGGCCGCTGTTTGTAAAGCGGCTCACGCTGAAAAAAATGGCAACATTTTGCCACATTTAGCTTCAAACAACGTTTAAGAAACTGGTATGAACTTTTGACGGTCACTTTTTTTGCACATTTACAACAATATTTGTCAACTTAGAGATATTTTAAATAGTTAAATCTAAATATTAAATGTTACGCGTAAATGTTAAATGTTAAATCTAAATGTTATTTCTAAATGTTGAATCTAAATCTAAATGTTAAATCTAAATCTAAATCTAAATGTTATATCTAAATCTTAATGTTAAATCTAAATGTTAAATCTAACTATCTAAAATAATAAACACGTTTGGAGAAATTTTATTTGAAGGGTACTTTGAGCTTTTAGTGTCACTTTTGTGAGGGGTACGGGACTTATGACATGTAGCTACTATAGCCAGCCACGAGGGGGCTCTTTTTGGTTGACCTGTCATGTTCGTTTGCATAAAAGCGAAGAGCAAGAGCCTACCACCCGCCCGCCACTGCCAGTAGGTATGGTGCCACGGTACCACGGTACCACAGTACGGACAACGTGACACAAAATGTCCAGCGATTCAGCTTTAGCCGAAAATATTGGCAGAGCCATTTCTCCAAAGATTTAGATTTAGATTTAGCATTAAGATTTAGATATAACATTTAACATTTAGGCGTAACATTTAATATTCAGATTTAACTATTTAAAATATCTCTAAGTTGACAAATATTGTTGTTAATGTGCAAAAAAAGTGACCATCAAAGGTTCATACAAGTTTTTTAAACGTTGTTTGAAGCTAAATGTGACAAAATGTTGCCGTTTTTTTCAGTGTGAGCCGTTTCACAAACAGCGCCCCATACAGATCGAGACAAAATTCCAGATACTGTGATCCAGAACACACAAAAATAAGGATGTCGTTGGAATTTTCAATGCTGAAAGATAACCACTGGGCGGCAAAGTTGTGCTCATACTTGTGGCACAGTGGTGTAGTGGTTAGCACTGTCGCCTCACAGCAAGAAGGTCCTGGGTTTGAATCCAGGTCAGGGCATTTCTTGTTTTAGGGACATTATGAACAGTGAACATACCAGTTTAAACACAAATAAAAGTTAATAAAAGACACGTAACAGTAAAAGTTTTGGTGTGAATCACAATATAAGGGGGATATGAGCTGCTTGGCGGAGGTCTGCGCTCTCTGAGTGCTTTTCTAGTTATTAAACTTAGTTACTTTATTGGGATTCTGTAAATTACCAGTTGTATGAAAAAAAATGGGAGTTAAAATTTTCAAAAAGTGTGTTCACCGTACAACAACAACAACAAATTACCTCAATTTTCATGAAGCTGGTTGAGTTCACCAGGAGCCCATATTCAGTCCTTTGTGACTTCACGTGTGTCATACGGATGGTCTTTCCAACGACGAGGGGCTCCGGCGCTGCCTTCCTCCACAGGGAGACCTTGACAGAAGATTTTTCCTGAAAAACGTAAGGGACCACCTTATTGTCTGGAGTCACAATACATGTGACACTAAAAAAGTACCACAGGCTCTCGTCTCATTTAAATCAGAGGGGCTGAGCAGATGCATGGTGCTAAACTAAGCAATAATGTATGAGAAAAGTAAGATAAGATAAAAACCCAAGGGGAAATTTGATATCAAGCTGATTAAGTCACATCAGTGGACATTTTCACTAAGTTACTCACTTTTGGTGCCAGGGGTGTACACATAAGTGGCTGTGTGTTCAGTTATTTTAAGGGGAAAGTAAATTTACACTGTTACACGAGCTGTACACTGACTACTGTACGTGGTATCAAAGTGTCATTTCTTTAGTGCTATCCCATGAAAGGATATTATTAAATGTTTGCTAGTGTATATTCATACACAGACATTTTTGTTTATTTTTTATTTATTACTTTTGTCATTTTCAGGTTCTTTCAGTGACTTACATGGCTTTTTCTTTCTTAAACTGAAGGGTACCAACAATGTTTCGCAGCTGCAGTTACCTGCTGCAGGACAAGCTTTCTGAGAGGCACAGCCTCATTCGCTGACTCCACCTTTCTCACAGCAGACATCTAAACAAGAGGAAAATCTGTATTTAGTAATTTATATATTTGTGAATGGAATTTTTTTCTTGTTATTTGTGATGTTTTTTATTTCCCAGATTCGTGGCTGTATCATAAAAGCCTATACTTACCTCAAAAACCACTCCCTCCACGGACATCAGGCCCTGCTGTTCCCGGCACTGATGGAGTGCGACCAGCGGTGAGGCCAGGTGCAGCAGGGCCTCTGCTCTTGCCCTGAGCTCTGGGGGAGAGGCAATTTTGCTGCCCCTGAAGAATTGTGTCCCGCTACCAACATTACCACTGAAAGGTGGGGAATTTCCCATCAGGGTGTGGCCTGTAATATAATAAAGGCAATTGATGGAGACAGATATTTGTATTGAAATTTTATACATTTATATCAATGTTATGTGTTATTATAGTAATCCCTAAAATGGAAATATTACTAATATAATATACACGGAATGATTAAATATTTTATATATACATGATTTAATATAACCTCCTTGTGTGTGTAGGCCTATAACTATTGATCCACCTATCTGCTTTATGTTTATTTATGAAAGTCCATGATTAAAATTATTCCTGAATATGCAGGAACATAACTAAAACTCTGAGGTTTATAACAAACCATGCCGTTTGAAAATTGGTTTAAAATGAAGCAATCTATGGTTGTTTATGTGCTACATGCACCGTAGACTTTAATATTATGAGTGGGTACTGGGCAGCTGCCTATGGCGAGATGGCCGTCATATGAGGACATCGGTCTCGATTGCCTAACGGCATGCGTCAACCATCTAGCGTTTATCACTGCTTGGTAGTAGCACGCCCCTGTAAACACTGGACTGCGCGCTACATGCTCACTCACGCCTCCTACCTACACACCTACCGTAACAACCGTTGTTGTAGTCTATACGAAACACTTTTTCTGTTGTTCATGAAATGCTTAAATCGGGGACATTTCCAGGGACAGCTTAAGCCGGGGACAGGACAGCCAAAACGGCCCTGACTGTTCCTCGTTCGTGTTAGCCATAGTCTATATCTAAGGCTACTGATATAATAATACAAACCTGCTCTCCCTAACAAAATTGTACCAGTAAACTAATTTTAAACAAATTTAAAAAGGAATTCATGACACTAAATTGAAGTATTTCTTTATATTTGTTCTGGTGACTTTTGTTTTCGTCGTCCTCTCTGTCTTTTGTGAATAACAAAAATGTCTCTGATGGTTCTACTATTTCCTTGCCTATTGTTTCCTTTGCAAACAATATTAGCCATCTAACAGTGACTTCCTGCGCTCCCTCCCTCCCTCTCATTTATATATAAATGCACATATATATATATACACACACACACACACACACACATATACAGTATATATATATATTACTAATTAGTCATTTAATATAATTTAATATCATTCTACAATGTTAACCCTTTGATGCGCAACATATGCACACCCCCTCTAATGCGCAACATGGGTCTAAAAAGACCCGCATTCATTTCCAATGGTATTTCATGCTGGCTGAGTTTTTCTTTGTTCTATCTTTTGAAATCACTTTATTTTCTGATTGAATATTCCAAGTATTCTTTAGGTATCTTGTTTTTGATCACCACTGATCATTATTTCTATTTTTCTTTTCACACTTTATGAAATAATATAGTTTCTACATTATTACATCAAGTTTACACACATGGGTCAAAAATGACCCATTCATCCAAGTGTGATTTAATATTAAATTACCTAATACTATAATAATAATTTGTTTCAAGTAATGAAATTAGCAGTGAGTGGGGTCAAACCATAGACTGTATATACTATAGACAACTTGGTTCCACCTCCCGCCTGTATACGGATTTGGAGCCAAAAAGCTCTTGATATTTCTGGGATTTTTCTTCATTTCTGAAACCAGCGCTGTGCAGTAGCAATGCGCGCATTCGGCCGCGCAGTCACCGAGAGTCGCTGTGATGACGCTCGGCTCAAACAGCGTATCCCCCCGGGAGAGCTACACAATCCCTGAACGCCCATAGGCTGTATACATCGTCTGTATGTACTATGGACAACTTGGTTCCGCCTACCGCCTGTATACAGATTTGGAGCCAAATAGCTCTCGATATTTCCAGGATTTTTCTTCATTTCTGAAACCAGCGCTGCGCAGTAGCAATGCGCGCATTCGGCCGCGCAGTTGCAGAGAGTCGCTGTGATGACGCTCGGCTCAAACAGGATATCCTCCGGGTGAGCTACGCAATCCCTGAATGCCCATAGGCTGTATCAGATGTCAATCATAGAAAACATGAACCCCCAATAACTTTTAAAAACGGAGCTTCACAGAAAAAAAGAGGACTTGAGCACAAACCAGTCTGACAGTAACTACATGTCAACATCACAAGCAAGGGGGAGAAAAATTTATGTTCTGTGTAATTAATTTCTAAAGTTTGTCTACAGCTCCGTAAGCTTTGCTGGCAGAAGCGGGATTTATGACCTCTACTGCAGCCCCTCACCAGAGGGTGCTGTTCTCAGAGTGGCGTTACCCAGCAAGGAGGCAGACGCTGTCCATTCTGTATACAGTCTATGGGCCAAACACTTATGTATTTTGTATTAGCAACATGTTTATTTGTCATTTTATCACATACACATGCGTCTGATTATAGCTAGCTGAAATAAAGCTAGCTGTTTTACCTGTAACTTTGTAACTTTCCAACATGTAAAGTCCTCACTCTCAAGGTAACCTAAACCTAATCAAATCTTTGTACAATTATCTTTCACAATTGTCATCAAATAATTTAAAGATAATGTCAGAACAATTGAAAAACCATACTTACATGTATTAGACGGTCTTTTCATGCTAAATGCTACAGTCACTATATGAGGGTCGTTTCTGACCCATGTATGTAAACTTGATGTAGAAATACAAAATCTGTGCTTCCTCATAACATAAGAAAGGAAAAATAAAAATGATTATTTGTGCTCAACTAAAACAAGATCTTTACTGCATACTTGGAATAGTAAATGATAAAATTAATTTATTTCAAAGATATACCATAGAAACACTCAGCCATACATGAAATAACATTGAAGATGGATACGGGTCATTTTAGACCCATGTTGTGCATTAGAGGGGTAGTGATACAAAAACGTTTTTTATTTTAAAAGTAAAAAAAGAAAAATAAACATAAGGATATAGGGTCGTCAAAAACAAGTTAATTGAGGAATTCCTTGAGTACTGACTGATGGAATTAATTTATTGAAAAGATATATAAAATTTAAACTCAGCCGGGTCTTTTTTGACCCATGTTGTGCATCAAAGGGTTAAAAATGAATCAAATGTTTTAAAAATTAAACTATTGAATGAGAAGTTGTTCAAAACTTTCACTGGCACGGTATGAACTTTATGCTCCTGGTTCGTGCTAGGTATAATGATAGACACTAGCGGAATGTTACAAACCTGCTCTCCCTGACATAACGACCAAATTATACCTGTGACAGAAAATTATCGAGCTCAGGCTATCTCTTAATATTTGTTTCACCCACTTGAATTCTTGTCCTCTTCTCCGTTCCTGATCCGTTTCAAAAAATGTCTCCTACTGCTCTGCGGTTTTCGTGCCAGTCGTTCACTTTTTAAACAATAGCCCGTTGCCTGCCAGTGACTTCCTGTTCCCCTCTCTCACTCATGTTTATATATCTATTTAATATTATTTATTTGTTTATTTTCAATACGTTCTGTATTAATCTAAAATGTGAAAAAATAGTAATAATAATATAAATAAAAAACGAATAAAACTATTGAATGAGAAGTTGTCCATTTTTGTTCTCCTTCTGCCCATTCTCGCCAAAGAAAGACAATTTCTCAGCTGAAAGACATGTAAATTATTAACTCTGGCTAGCTTGAGCGCTACTGATGTGTCAGTTTGTTTTTTTCTTTTTGCATCATGATATCAGCAGTGGCACAAGTAGACACTAGATGGTGCTAAAGCACCTGCCCTTTGTCCTCTGGACCAAGCAAGTGCCCCTTTGGAAATTGACCTTTTTTTTTTTCTTTTTTTTTTTTTTTGTGGCCCATGCTGACATGATCACTACAAGAGCTCGTCGATTAAAAGCGTGTGATAATTAATTACCAATTAATACCCCCCACCGCACCCCTCCACCCGCACACACCTCTGTCAATGTGAACGCGCAGAGCAGACACAAACGGAGGCGCGTTGTAGCAGCAGACAGTGCACAGCTGCAGCCCAAATACACCTCCTTGGCTCCTCCCCTGCCCACCAGCCAGGTATCACATAAATGAATCAAGTTGAGTATGTTGTTTGCCCCCTAATCCTCAGTTGCCGAGCTGTAACTTGCATTTATTTGTCTCTGTTGTGAAGTAGCCTGTCTCAATGCCACACAGCTGGGCATAAATTAGCGGACTGCTCACCTGCTTAACAAGCTAGACGCTACCTAAAAACAATGATAGATATGACGTTATGATGACTACCGGTAGAGATTGTCATTGGTATCCTACAGCATGTGAATCTATCAGTATACTTACGTAAGATGAATATTTAGTTAAAGTCTTAGTTTACAGTCTTATTTATATTGTCGGTCTCTTTTTTATTAACCAATTGCAGCATAATGCCTAGAAAGGAGAGGGTAAGAGGGAAAAAAGAAAGGGAGCTGCAGCAGGCAGCTCAGGGGAGCAGCTCTCTGCTTTCCTGGATAAAAGCATCCACCAGCAGCAAGGAGGAAGAGGGAGATGAAGATGAAAGGTCAGAGTCAAGAGTCATGCTCACTGTTTAGGGCATTTTAAAGCTCAGATTTTAAAGTTGAACTGTTACTCTAATTTTACTGAAATATCTTGAAAGCTGTCAACAGGCGCGAATTCGCCAGGCGAATTATTTGCCTTTATTCGCCTTTTTTTAAAACAGCATAAAGTCAATGCAAGCTTCCACACCGGCAGCGATTTTTCCGCGGGGCGAAAAGCGTCTTTTATTTTTTCACTCTTGTGTCGAATTTTCAGAGATTCGCAGGCGAATATCTGGACCTGCTAGACCTCTGGCCAATCAAAAAGTCATGTTGTTAATGACGTCACAGACCCATACGGCTGGAGGAGAGGGATAAATTTGAGATTGTGAAAACGCAGAGAAAGGCAGCTGAGGTGCATCCAAAACTCTTTCTAATTACTAATGAAGTAGTTTTCCCACAAGATGACACTCTCTTGTCTTCCTTAGGAGACAGATGTCATGCACACTTCACAGGGTGATGTCTTCATCATGCCTGATTCTCCCTCTTAGCTGTTTGACATACTAGTCCAGTTGGAAGGAGGGGGTTCAGTGTACCCCCCGGAGATATATTGCTAATCAGTGTTTTTCTATAGGAAAAAATGTGCTGAAAATTATGAGCGATGATAAAAAGTTATCAGAATGTCCCATCTGCCCCAAAAACCCACTTTTTGGTACATGGCTCCAGCGAAATTGTGTTAAGGCAAATATTAATTCACTAAAATTACATAATTGGACATGAAAGTCTAAAATTTGGCATGGGGTATCCTGAGACATAGGATTAAGTAGCCCAATAGGATCATAGGACCTGCTACAACTGTATTCATAATTATGACCAACATCATCCCCAGAAACACAAAATATATACAAATATACAAAATATACTGTCCGCTTGACAAATAATAACAAAGATGATTGATTTCCAGCACTTTATGGTGAATATCACTGCCTCATTTGTGTATATATAAATTTCCCATGTCCCTAAGCTTCAATTTGAGCCCAGGATGACCTTTCTGGCTTGAAAATTACTCTTTCTATAGCCAAAGTTCTGCACTATACCTCAAATCGGAGAAAATAGGAGATTCTGCCAGTAGCTGTCTATTACAGGTATTATGCACCCCCATATATATATATATATTTCTAAATAAGTATTTCCTTATTGGAAAAAATGTGCTGAAAATGACGAGCTATGTTTAATAGTTGTCAACATGACCAATCTATTATTTATATGCTAATTAGTGCCGCCATTTTGGAAACACTGATTTTGCCTATATCTCAGCCAATGTTGCATTCAAATGAACAAATAAGGTATCTGGACCTGTTTTGAGGGCCAAGGTTAAATGACCATATGTTCCAGTGACATGCTTGTATGTAAAGCAGTGCCATAAGAAATTGAATGTACTTTCAATGTATGTTTTATTAATCTGACTCAGGCCAGGTGTGACTGGTAAACATTATCCATGACCTAGGTCAAACTTATTGAGCATAGAGATAACTATGACTGCACAGCAATTGTGCATTGAGCATATCAATACAGACAGTATAAACTCTGCCACCACCACACCTTGGCTTCTACATCATCCTCCCAACAAACAAGGTAAGAAGCATAAATCAGCCACTGTATACATGTGGAATAAATTGACTGACTTTGACTACACAATGTACACATTATGTAATATTTCCTTCTTGAATATAGTTATTGGGCTACTTAACCCTATGTCTCAGGATACCCCATGCCAAATTTTAGACTTTCATGTCCAATTATGTAATTTTAGTGAATTAATATTTGCCTTAACACAATTTTGCTGGAGCCATGTACCAAAAAGTGGGTTTTTGGGGCAGATGGGACATTCTGATAACTTTTTATCATAGCTCATCATTTTCAGCACATTCTTTCCTATAGAAAAACACTGATTAGCAATATATCTCCGGGGGGTGCACTGAACCCCCTCCTTCCAACTAGACTATACCGATGATCTGCAGCTACAGGGCCAACAGAATGACCAGACAACTTGAGGGATCACTGCTCAGCCCTCGCCTCTCCTGGCTGCTGCTGCGTCTCTCACAGCTTTTCCTCCTCTTTCTCCCTCGCTCATAATGCTAGACATGTCAATCAGCAGCCGTTCACATGACACACACTACCACTGGCACCAAGAGCAAAGATGGGAGAGAGGCTGATAATTGCGGTACAGGACCACCCTGCATCTCCTCTCCTCCGTGCCACGAAAGAACTCACGCCAAAGACAATATATATTTATTAATTCGCTTTCCAAAATTTATATACGTATTTGCTTCGCTCCCGGTGTGTATAGGCGAAAGCTGTGGTGAGACGCCTCCTCCTCTTGTTTTATTTTGGCTGGACTTCCTGTGTTTCCTTGTTTGCCTGGTCTGGCTTTACTCTCTTCCAGAGCTTCCTCCCCTCCCCTGGTCGCTGAGGCTGAGTGAGACTACACACCTGCTCCACATCTCCAATCAAGGCACTTTAAGAAGCCTGCAGCCCTCAGTCTCAGCGCCTGAGAATTGTCTTCACTCCTAAGTGGTACAGACGCGTCTCCTGGCCTCCTTTTGAATTAGTATTTGTAACTCTGCTCCTTGTGATTCCTTGCATGCCTACTCACTTCTCTCTCCTCTGTTTTCCCTGCAGTGTCTCCAGCCCACACGACAGCCAGCCAGCCAACCAGCCAACCAGCCTACCGGACTTCCTCTTTTTGCCTTTAAAACCTGAGTTTAGACATTAAAACTACACCTTAAGTTGATCTCTGTCTCTGTGTCTGCTTCTGGGTCCTCACAACTCACCAGTCACGTCACAGAAGGCGATTTTTCGGACCGTCAAATATTTTCGCATTTTCGTCTCGCTTTTTCGCTTCGCTCTGCAAATTCGCTGGTGTGTAAGGACCTTTATTGCGTTCAGCTGCCCGAGTGTTTGAGCTGTTCTTCCGCTCTTAACTGGCTTGAAGAAGACCTGAGATAAAACACTGATGTTAAAGACAAAATCAGCAGAGCTGTACAATGAAGTCACAAGCAATAATGCAGCAGCTAAGATTACTAAGAATAAATAAATAAATGAACATAAGTTCACTTAGACATTATCTCAGGTTTTGTTGAGGAGAGGCATGTCTCTGGGAGGTTCAGCAGAAAAGAGCCCAGTGAGTGTGACACCATCAGTTCTGCTTCAGCCTGGGGGGTATTCCATCAAGCTCGCTTAGCTCAAAGTCTGGCTTAAATGGCCAAGTCTCGCTTATTTTAGTGAGAGTTGAGTTTCACCAATGTGGCTAAGATTAGCTCCAACTTGGTAACCATGGAAACATGGTTCTAACATGGCTAAGCCGGACACTTGGAGCTAAGCTCTGACTTTCGATTCCATCAACCTGAGCCTCAATTCTGTTCCATCAAAGTGGTTAACACGAATGCCAGCCTTGTAACCATGGTGACTTATGCTGCCGGCCAAACCTGGGGCCTGTTCTACGAAGCAGGTTCAACCTAGCGAGGTAGCCTTTGAGCTACCTCGCTCAACTTAGCGTGGTAGCCAGCGGTCTCGCTAAGCGGTTTTACGACGCTGGTTATCAACCTCATAAGTGGATCCAGCTCTGCTATGAGCGCGTGCACACATATAAGGCGGAGCCGGCCGCATCTGACCAATCGCGAACATGGATCAGTCTGGAGCGTCAGAGCAGGCTGGAGAGTGAAGGACCGCAGACTTTACAAACGAGGGACAGGAGACGATCATGAGAAAGTATGAAGAATTGAAAGCTATCACAAACCTCAAAAACAACACCGTCGCCGCTGCAAAAGCACAGAGGGAAGGCTGGCAGAAAAGTAATCTTTGATGCCATTATCACCCTGAAATAGCGCTTTTCAACATGCGCTTTTAACTAAGATGACAGTCCCCGAATTGGATGATCTGTCCCCGGCTAAAGCTGTCCCCGAAAATGTCCCAGATTTAAGCGTTTCATGAATGAGAACAAAGATGTTGCATGAGGGCAAGAACAACGGTTGTTACAGTAGGTAGGAAGCACAAGTAAGCAGTCCTGAACAACAGTATTTACGGGGTTATTATAAGGGGCATGCGCTGCTACTAAATAGTACCGAGATGTTGTCTGTGATCGCGCAGCCCATGCCCATTCATTCCCAAGATGAATCATTCATTTGTTCATTCCTATCGTGTTTACATGCCTTGTGTAATATGTCGGCCATATGAGCCTTTCATAAAGGTGGTCATCCAGAGAAAACTCTCCCTGAAAACTCTCGTGGGCCGGAGTGCTCCTCCTCGGACAATGCGAGCACCGAGGTCTACAGGATCCTCCAAGAACGGACAAGCCGTTTTTCGAGAGAGCTCATTGGTCAGTGGGCGGGGTTTTTATACTCGGTGAGTTCAATCTGGAACTTAACCTGCCCCGGAGCAGGTTAGCCGTTCAGCGTATATTGCTATGGAGACTCGCCTCGCTAAGAAGTGAACCCGCGTCGTAGAACAGGAAACCCCGAACTTACCCTCGAAGTTACCTCGCTAAGCAGTAATCCTGCTTCGTAGAACAGGCCCCTGGTCTGGAGCAGGATTAAGGTGAAGATTAACTCCACTAATGTCCAAAAAATGTCCAAAAGACATGTCTGTTTTGCATTTGCATACACAATGCACTGATAAAATAATTTGTGAAACCAAAACGTGCTTTCCATCCACTTAGTAAACTAAGCAAAAAGTGCATTTGGTAAGTATTATGATTTTGTAAAAAATAAAAATCAATCCGTTTTCATTTATCTTGATTGCATCCTTATAGATAAAGATGAATAAAATAAAATAAATAACATATTTGTATGGCCCATTTTCACAAACAGTATGTCACAAAGGGCTTTACATATCAACATAACATCCTCTACCCTTAGACCCTCACTGAAACAAGACAGAATGACAAGACAAAATGGCTTTTGAATATTTATTGTCCTGAGTCACCAAGCTGGGGAGACAGAATGTTACAGAATTAAATACTGTAAAAACAATGACCGTATTCTCTCTGCCTGGATTCATAATTGCATCCTTTTCCATCTTGTTGATTTCAAGTTTACATTTTTTTATCTGCAGGTGTTTGTGTTCGATCTGCAGCTTGAGGTACCTTTTGTAGAGTACCTTCACATCCTATGATCAGAAAATGTGTCAGAGTGCAGCCAAAATGCAGCTAATGGTGATTTTGAAAACAGGAAAAAGAAAAGAATGGTAACTCACTTCACTCCTTCCGGTTGAGGATGGGGTAGTCTGCTGCAGCAGGGTTTGATTTATTAATTTTGACAATGCAAACAACATGAATAATATTTAACATTCAGACTTACATCTTGGAGTACAGTGCCTTCTACAGAAAGAGTCTCCTCTTCATCTCTGTCCTGGTGATTCTGATGACTAGGTCCTTCACCCTGCAAATGGAGGAATATCAGTTATTTGAGCAGGTGTAGGAGGCTAGTCAGCATTTCATTTACAGGTTGGGACTTACAGGGTCTCCTGGGGGCCCTGCTGCAACTTCCGGGGGTTCTAATAAAGTTATTTGTCCCTCTTTTACCAATAGAAAAAACATGTTAACAGTCAGCTAAATCAACTGAGGGGCTGTCGCCATGCAGCGGAGGGATAGTGGTTGACAGTACAGTACCTTCAACAAATGTGGCCCGTATCGCTGGATCAATAGGAGAGGAAGCACTCCCCCCCTGAATACCATCAATTTTGGGGCCCTTGTTGTAACTGAGGGCTAGGGATTCGGCCTGTGTAAACTCCTCAGGTGGTGGTCCCCCACCAGTGGCTCCTAGTTGAGCTTTTTTCTTGGTTGCTGCAAGGAACACAGTCACAGCTTTACAGTTATATTTACTAATACATTTCACATTATTACAATTATTATGCATCACTGACCATTTGTAAGGATGTTTTTATATTTTACTTTGACCTGTTGCCAGGTGCGTTTCTGGCCTCCGAGGTTGCTTCTGTTTGGATAGTAAAAGGAGGTTAATAAAAGACACAGTGAATGCTGAGTGAGTTTTAGTTAGTTCCTCATCCTACTGCACAGACATGAAGGTAAAATGAAGGAATTAGCTCCTTTTTATGCAACAAGAGAATCAATTAACCCCTGCAAACATTTAAACAGCGCTCCTCTGAATTGGGGGAATTAGGTAAATGAGATAATACATGATCAATTGTGTGATAAATGTTTTGCATATAAAACAATTTGATTATAGCCACTTCAACTCAGATTATAAATCTGATTAAATCACTATCTGTAACCTACAACTTGTCTTGTAGTGAATTTCTTTAATTTTACAGCCTAAATTACAATTCTGTTATGTCAAACAGGTTGTATCATTAACATTGAGACGGGATTATCATCTGAAATAATGTATGGATGAAACATCACTTACGCATTCAGCCTGTCGGCAATTGTCTTCCATGCTGCCTCTCTCGCTTTGTTTATTTGAGCGGTGTTACCTTTTTTAGTTATGATGTCCCGGTAATCATCATATAATTCCATAAGGAGGTTTTGTTCAGCAACAGAGAAACTCTCTGCCCGTGGTTTTGCAGCATTCTGAGCCATTTTGCAACACTTTCAGCACTCGACTTGTTGGGTCTTTTTATATTCCGCGGGGAGGCGCTCAGTGTGAGGTTTAACAGGTGAGGCTTGAATTAGCGTTAAGTGGAGCCAGCTGATCTCGTTTGATGGAACGGGTTGGGGCTTGGTTTGGAGTTGCCGTTAATTCAAGCTTCAAGATTACACTATAGTCCCGATTTTCTTAGCGACTTTGATGGAATACCCCCCTGGTGTCCGGTGGTCATTGAGGGCTGCTCCAGGACATCTGGACAGTCGCAAGTAAAATGCCATCTCTTCATCACCTCTGACACAGTACTGGCTTTAGCAGCAGGTAGACTGTGTCTTTGAGTTGTCCAAAGTGCTGTGTTTACTTTTGGTTGAGAGTTTGACAATTTTTTCAGCTTGCAGTGAGGTAGTCAGGTCAGTGCTAATGGAGGTCAGGTCAAAGACTGCAGAGACAACTGGGGAAAAAAGCAAACAAACAAACAAACAAAAAAAAAACATACCCAAATAAAAGGAAACTTGGGTTTGCTCTTGTGTACCTGAATGTGATGTGTTTACTTTTGGCTGACAGTTTGATATTTTTTTCAGCTAACAGTGAGGTAGTCAGGACATTACTAATGGAGGTCAGGTCAAATATGGCAGAGACAACTGAAAAAAAAAATTAATAAAACAAACAACCAAAACTTTCCCAAACAAAAGGAAACATGGGTTTGCTCTATTTTACCTACAGGTGATGTGTTTACTTTGGATTGATAAGTTTGAGAATTTTTTCAGCTTACAGTGAGGTAGTCAGGACAGTACTAATGGAGGTCAGGTCAGAGATGGAGGATACAACTGGAAAAAAAAAAAACATACCCAAAGAAAGGGAAACTTGGGTTTGCTCTAATGCCACCCACACTAAGAGAGTAAGGTTAAGTTGGGTGGAGAAAAGGGGGGTTTCAGCTGGTAGATAACAGAACATCAGAAAGTGTGTGTTCATTACGGAACACGCACTTTCTGATGGAGGTTTTTAATTTTAGCTGCTGTAGACATTATTGTACACAGCAGCTGAGAGTTTTGGCCTGTGCATTTATCAATCCTCACCCACCCTCCCTATGTCCAGTCAAGTCAAGTTAAATGGATTAACTTGACTTGACTGGACTTGATAAATGCACAGGCCAAAAAATAACATTTATTACATTTGAATAGTTAAAAATTGTACAACCTGAAAAATGTTGAAATTAACCCATAAAAATATTTTTTGCACCACAAAATTTTACAAACACCAAACACATTTCAATTTCTAATAAAAATTTGAGCAGAACATTAGCCACATAGTAGCTAACCTGCTGAACAATCTGACCTGGACGGTCTGATTTGCAGGGGACCTCAACTGCAAAAAAACAGAGTTGAACTTTTACGCACAGCTGCGTAGCTTTATTATTTCCCCAAATCTCACCACACACAGACAGGATCAGACAGGATCTAATGATAACTGATCTCTCATGTGTTTTACTTCAAAAAAGGAGGCCGCTGATCTGAATTGACTTCTTTTTGCTGGATCACATGATTCTATTTGGTGGACTATTGCGTGCGTAGTGCAAGTATCCATTAATATTCAGCATGGCTAAATCCTCCAGTTTTATTTCAGGACTGTGAAAAATACACCTTAGATGCATGTGAGCATGTGTTGATGAGCGTTTCACTGTTTCTGCAGAGATAGAGAGTGAGCACATCATGAAGCTTGGTAACGAGACATGCTGCAACTTTGGGGCTGAGCAGGTCTAAAGTTATGAGGAGAAAGCGGTAAGTAATGTCGTAAAGGATGCAAAATAAAGGAAATCTCGCTTCTCCAAGCCTTCTGACTGAATGAAGGACTCAGTTTCAATGTATGAGAAAAGAAAAGAAAAAGTCATTTTATCTGATGGCTCAATTTATCACCCGATAAGTGAGAGCTCAGCTGGGCGTAAAAAGACCCTCTAACTAATAGGAATAGCCGACTTTCACTCGGCTATGTTCATAATTTGCGCACAGCACCTCTCCTGTTTGATTTTATAATTTTGAAAAAATATATGTATAATATATAATAATGGGCAGAAGGTCATGACATAGATACAGTACAACAATCCCAAGCCCCCATCCCGGAGAATCCAGGGTTCAAGCTTCAGCTATGTGCATGCAGGGCACAGATAATCCCTTTTGATGTCTGGCCTCAGGACACACTCATGGTGAAACCATCTGTCGCAGTTGTCGCAGCAAATCTTAAAAGACAGAGAATTTCTTCAATTGGTGTCGTCCTTATCTGTATGCAATTTAATTTTGGCACCATTACTTCTTGGACATTTGTAGGTTACATTTACTGATTACTTTCTGATTATACTTGCATGTAAAATTCCTGTTTCAAATATTTAATTCCAGGTCCTCTTATTCCATTATTTATACTTGTACTGTTAAAAACTTACCCATTGAGGGTTATTGTTCTCCTCCAACCCACAGCAGTGGCAGACCTTGCTGAGGTCATCTGTTCAGAAAAAGAGTATGCGTCAACATTCACTCTGGAATTTCTTCCAAAAATTTGCAGAAATTAAATTAAACTCCATTAATATGTAATTGTATTAGGCTGTCCTGATTATTTGATATAAACTTTGTCCTCAATGTTTTTTATGGTTTAACAGAGTTAGTGGCAAACTTCATTTGAGATCATTTACCAAAAAATATTTATATGTTAGAAACTTTTTTTAAACTAGTTAAATAAAGTAAGTTGTAATGTTAAGCAATCAACCAATTTTCAAATACACTTGATTGAGACTATCTTGTATTACGTAGATGGTTAAAAGAAAGTGAGACAGGAGGACACCCCCCCCCCCCCCCATCCCTGAGGACCCCCTCCACACATGCACTGTTTATGTTACTTAATGAATTCTACAAGAATATCCAACATTTATAAATTGATACAATATAGAGTCCTGTACCAAGGTTATGGGCCATTTCAGGTGTGAACAAAGCATTTATTTTGTATAGTACTGTATATTCCACAGTATTAATTTACTACCCTCCCTGTCATTTTAACTGAAGGGCATAGATTTATAACTGCTAAAACATGAATAATTAACATTGATCAGCTGGAAAGAAAACTCACCCGATTCTTGGAGCAGGACAAAGGCTATATCTAGCCTCATCTTGTGAACTGCCGCTTGTGTGGTCTTGATGCCAATTTGCTCACCTTTTATTATTTTTTCTGCAAACTAAAGAGAACTTAGGTTAGCATATAAGCATCTTAAGATGAATACATAAACTAGCAAGATGCTAAGATCCATGTTTTTACATTGAGCAACATGTTGAAGACACATAAGTGTTTCTTGTTAACATCAAAATGACAGTTTCTGTATGATACATATCACAAACATCCATGATCATGTAAGAAAACAGGTTAATAGGTCATGGTTTTGTTAATGACCCTGAGGTTGTCCACATTGTTTCAATGGTGTATTGTACACTCACTTTTAAGGCCAGGACACCACATGATGTTTCATCTTGCTGGTGTGCATGAGTCAGGGTGCTGCATGCCCACCTTGACACATTGCAGCCTTTCTTGCGCATAAAGGCCCTTAATAATAGAAATATTGTTAGTGAAAACATCATTTAACAGCTCTTAGAACTACTTTTTTTGTCTGACATCATAGTGCAAGTACTGTGTATTAGAAAATATCTGTTTATGGAGAAAAATTACCTTGTTGACTCCAGGCATCTCTTCATATTCCTGTCAGACTCACCCAATGGATCCAAAAAAGGTCATGTGGGTAGATGACCTTTGTATTTTTAACATGGAAACACGATAAGTTCGGCACAAACCTACCATTGGACGGATTAATCTTTAAAATTGGATGGGTACATGTACATTTTTTTATACTTCAGAAATGGCCTTTGGAAGGGAGTTCAAACCTTGAAAATAGAGAGGGCCTTCAGAACCACTGATACAGATCTTAAAAAAGCAAGATTTGCACAGTACTTCTCATCTTACCGTCAACATCCAGTGCTGGTGTTCATTTACTATTCCCACAATTACAGAGAATGCCACTGGATCGAGCTGAAAATAGGAAGAACTAATGAACATTAATTGCATAATCAGAGAAACAAATTCCACGTGCATACTGTAACAGTCCACTACATACAGTCCTGAGTCTTGGTGTTTTTCCTTGCCAAATTGCAGTCATCATAAAGCTGTCGATGACCTCAGCCTTATCTGCATTGATGTTGTTGTAGTCCCGGACAAGCAGGGTCAGGTGGGCCACGGAAGATTTTATCTTATGTGGAATACGTGGCTCCTCCTGCCTTACTCTGATTAGGTGGTCAATATTTACCTTCGGAAACACTGCACCACCCTCTCCCTTGAGATCAGCACTTTTTCCCTGCAGTGCTGTAATGGTAAAAGGACCAAGGAAGTTTGCCTCCAGCTTTCCACCCGTCCTCTGTTGGTTCCTTATATTCTACCGCCAGACCTGGGGCCTTATGTATCAATACTTGCGTGGAACTCATACCAGAAACGAGCGCACGCAAGGTCCGTCACGCTGAAAAAAATCCGTATGTATCAATGTGTGCGGGCGCCGAAATCCACGTGTGTTTCCTTGATAAATCCCAATCAGCGTGGAATTGAGCGCAGATGTCGGAGTGACTGGGCCCGTCCCCGTTACGCCCTCCTATAAATATGCAGATTTATTTAAATAGGGTCTCCCTGTCCTTGCACGCAGACAAAATGACAAGAAAAACTAAATTTACGGCGTGCGAGGTGGAGGTGCTGGTGGCGGAGGTGGAGGAGCGACAGCGTGTTTTGTTTGGCAGCCTGTCCAGTGGCGTCAGTGCAAAACAAAAACGCTTGGAGTGGGAGAAAGTTTGCGAGAGGGTGAATGCGGTGGGTTCCGAGACACGCACCCCCGCGGAGATTAAAAAAAAGTGGTCGGACCTCAAGGTGGAGGTCAAGCGGCATACAGCTGCCCTCCGGAGGAGTACCGGCCAGACAGGTGGGG